TGCACACTAATTTCGTTGCATGCCTAGCACGCTCTTGTCTCCCCATCCACAACAACAAACACTCTCTTAATTTAGCAACGGTTGTTCTTTGTTTATAAGCATCATAGACGATTACTTGGCAAAGGCTTCCAGTGTCAGTGATGTTCTATAGCCCGTCGGTACTGCCTTACTTCCTCGCGCGCACAAGTATCGCCACCGCTGGTCATGTCCTGGCGTCTTCTCTGGCTCAGCCATCCGCAGCGATCGCCGGTTCTTGAGCTGAGGAGAGCGAGCCCCGCCGGCCGTCCTCGCCTGGACTGCGCCCGAGGCGGGGCGAACGGACTTGTGTGTGGTGCGTGCACGGCCCGCGCGCACGGTCGACCCACCGACAAGTCCTACCAACGATCTTATCTGGCTTGGCCGCGAATTTGACGAGTGAAAATTGACCGGTCTGCTATCAACGTCACCACGCGCACACATACCACGCTCGCAACGCACACACACACACGACACGCACACGCGCGCGGCGTAGACACACGACGCACACATACACGCGGCGCTAGAACACCACGTCACAGATGCGGCTGCGGCGCGCAAGGCCACACGCATAGACACATCGACCAGGCACCCGACGCGCACGGCACACTCGCGCACGCACACACGCCCTTCGCTTCATACGTGGGTCAGGCGGGCAGTGCGCGTACGCGGTGCTCGCACTCCGTCGCTCACTGAAGCGAGCCGCTCGAGAGCATCTGTGCTTAGCTTTGCGAAAAAATTTAAAAGGAGGAATATCAATCTGGCGTAAACAAATAAAAGCGAACCTGCACCAAAGCAGACAGGTTCTGCGAGCTTCGTTCTATAACGAGCGGGTCTCGCAGTGAGGAAGGGAGGGAGCGGAGGAGGATGAGGAGGGGTGAGGGGGCAGGGGGGAGCACTCTTACGCGGGTTGCCTTATAGCTTTATCACATTTATTTCACCTTAATCATTAGCTTTCGGGGTCGCGCATCGAACAACAAGAACCGTACTAGCTGCACACACCACGTATGCGTGCGCGCGCACCACACACACACACACGCACGCACGCACGCGCGCACACGTAACTCGAGACCAGAAGATGAAACAGACAGATTTCCGTTTAGTTACGCTCGGACCGACGTCGTATAGCCCAACGCATCGGCGCCGCCGCTCGGGCACTGGCGCATGGTGTGCGCGGGGCGTTAAAGCAACAATATTTGCGAATATATGCAAAAAAGTCGAAACACTATATACGAAACCAAGGGCTGGACTTCCGCCATCGCGAAGAAATAATAGAAGAAAATCAGAGAGAGAGAGATGAGAGAGAGAGAGAGAGAGAGAGTAGAGAGAGATGGAGAGAGAGGAGAGAGAGAGTGAGAGAGAATGACGAGAGAGAGAGAGAGAGAGAGAGGAGGAGGAGAGGAGGGAGCGAGAGAGAAAAGAAGAGAGAGAGGGGGGGGCGCGGGCGGGCCGAGAGCAGAGAGAGAGAGAGAAACTGAAACCAAATCAAATCTCAGGTTAGAGGAGAGAGAGAGAGAGAGAAACTCAACATTTAGAGAGCGGAAGAAACATGTTAAGAGAAGCAGGAGACATTATCGGGTGTAGCGACCTTCTGTATAAGAGAAAACGCCAGATGGACCAATAAAAAGCCACGCATACAGCTGGAACCAGAATCAATAGACAACCAGATGAAATTTTAAAAGGAACTTTTTTCGTATAAACACGCGCGCACACGAGCGCACACGCACACACACACGTCCACCGCGCACACACACACGCCACGCACGCACGCACGCACGCACGCACGCGCGCATAACACAGACGCATACTACCTGCAGGGAAGAAGTGAAGTCTCTACGAACATACTACGTTTTTCGCGCGTCAGGAAGTCTATTAGGGTGTCGATGTCAAAGAGACGTGGTCGCGAGACGCTGCCACTGTCACCCCCCCCCCCCCCCCCGCATCCGCCGCGGCGTCACTGCGACAACGACGTGACACACCCCTGCCAGCGTACGTCACCGGTGTCAATGGTGACATGGTGTGACACACATACAACTCGTGTCACCGCATCCATGGTGACATGCGTCGCACATACCTTGCAGTCACTGAGCCCATGGTGACACACGCATCACTGCGTCTACGGTGACACGCGTCACACATAGTGAAAGCAAACGCGTCACCGCGTCTCCACAGGGTGACACGCGGTGACACATACTACACATGTCAGCCAGTGTGGATAGCGGCGTTCACACACAGTTTCGACACTGCGGGTCGCCAGCATAGCTGGCAGCGAATACTAATTAGCTGTCTTAATTGAGCGTTAATCTCGTTAATCTACGTTCGTCATCTATTGTATTTATGCGAGTGTCGATGTCGAGACGTTTGCATTATCGGCGTTAGTAGCATTTGCGTCATGTATATATATCTATTACGTAAATGAATATATATATGATATATATCATATAATATATATATATATATAATAAACAGAGATCCTCGATTTTCGTTTTGTACAAGATGAGAGATAGGGGAAGTAGGGAGGACATCGGAGTAGGGTTCATAACACTTAGGCTGTAACGAAGAGAGAGAGGCGGTAGTCAGTGGGCTCTCCTGGAGTGGTGGGAGCAGACTCCCTCGTGTGCGGCATTATCCATTACGGGCCACCACACCAAACAGGTCACAGACTTTCTACAATGCAATACGGCGCGTGCGGACGCATACCAAAAACGATCGCACGTCACAGCCTTGCTGTTTCGCACGCGTTTTCGATTGTACGCGCCAATCAGGGAGGGAGGGATGCGGTGGCGCGCGTGATTCCACTCCTCCAGAAACGATAGAATCAGGGAGGAAGAGGGATGGCGGGTGGCGTGATCCCTCTCCCCCCAGAAAACGCGATAGAATTCAGGGGGCGAGGGATGGACGTGGCGTGCATCCCTCCTACCCCCAGAACGACCTAGTAGAATGCAGGGAGGGGGGAGCTCATGGCGGCTGCCGTGATCCCTCCTCCCCGCAGAAAACGCCATAAGAATCCAGTGGAGGGGATGGGTGGTTGATCCCTCCTCCCCCAGAAACGCATAGAATCAGGGAGGGAGGGATGGGTGGGTGATCCCTCCTCCCCCAGAAACGCACAAAATCAGGGAGGAAGGGGCGGGTGAACCACCCCGGAACGCATAGAACCGCATTACCGTTTGATTAAGGCACTTGTCATCATAACACGATACGTATTAAATTCACGTACATACTCGAGTAACTCTTCACGACATCCGAATACCACCCCACCCCCCATGTGGTACGCGGGACAAAGATAAAATACTATACATGTAACCCCCGGTGTCCTATATACTCCTCGAGTCGAGTCTCTTGTGCTTGCATTCGATAGGCATAGTTACTCAGTAATATTTAAAAAAACAAATGTTTTCTTTTCCCCACAATAAACAGTGTGCATCCTATATAGTGCATTGCAAATACGTTCGTTTCTGCCTCGTGTTAGAGATCATAGATACAGAATAGATAATCTCTATTCCATATCTACACTTACATCGTTACATCGTGTGAACGAGCGAAACACCGAGTGTAACGACATTAGCTGCTATATTTTGCAACCGCCAGACGCCAACGACGGCATACAATAGAAACAACCGACCAAAAAAACAATGGCGGGCGTCCTCTTTTTGTAAAATAAATTCAACACCATTTAGACTACAGAAAACACGTCAACGGGTTATTTACAAAAAAAAAACATTTTCTGCGGACAGACGTCACTGCCAAAATACGGGCATTTCAAGGAGAAACTGGTACATAAAAACCCCTACTATAACTCCAACTGGTGACTACCGCGTCGGAACAGGCATAAAATATCTCTGCATAAAAAACTACATCCGAAGTATTTTCATGAGAAAACGCTTCGCCCTGTATATCGCACGCGGGCCTCGCTAAAAAATGCGCATCAGAACTGGCGTATGAAACGGCATGTGACAACGAGATGCGATACGTGTGATTTTACGGGCCCCCATATAAAGCAAATTCGTGTAGTATAGCTCTTGCATCTCATTGCATTCGTCTACCCTCCCCCACATTGCTTAGAGTATTCGTTGCTCACCGACTTAAAATATATTGACTTCAACGCCTCACGCGTAAAATAACGGCTGGGTGGAAAGCATCTCGTATTAAGAAAAAAACACATGTAGA